AAAAAAAAGAGGCATAAATCGAATCTTCATCAGGTACAACACAACATCCAACAAAGCAGAACTAAGTAAGTCGTGAAATATCAATAGTTTGTACAAAATTGAGCGAGGAAAACTAAGGTCATATGTGGAAACAATGCTAAGAAGCATTACAACGCTTTGCTACTTTATTTTATACAAGAAATATCATTCGAATGCTATAAAAATGCTACAATCTTACCTTATGAGGAGCTTTCGGCAAAATTGAAAGAAGTACAGAAAAATAACTGATAAGAGAGTTTGAAAGTTTCACATGCGTTAAAAGTGAAGACTGGACCCGATTCAATCCTTGGACGAACGAGAAAGGGCAGAGTGTCCGTTCACATACACTACTTTGCTTCCTACGTGCCAGAGGTTCATTCCTAAACGGATCGCACTTTAGCAGCAGAAAGGAAAAAAATTAACATGCAAAGGTAATGGAAGCCACAATCGAGTAAGTATTCCATTTGAGTAATGTGCTTGCGGTACAGAAAAAAATGCAGTGAGATTTCCTCGTGAAGAAACAGCTAGTACGCCTGCGACGCCGACCACTTCCGCGGCAAAATGCGAGCGTAAGGCCCTGCGCATACCTCCCGCGATCTTAGCCGCCACGCAATCGGCAATTTGCCAGATGTCTTCAAATTCAATACTGTCAGACCCCAAATGCACAGCATGTATAACTCTTGTAGGTTTGAGTGCCCTATCTTCCTACATCCAGAAACCCGTCACGATGAGTTATGAAAATCGCGTCACGTGAAATCGCGTAGGTATGCCCAGGGCCTTGCTGGCGGCTCTTCGTTCACGAGCAAGTACCTTATCTCGTCACCGCAAGTACACTATATTGAGCGAAAAATCTACTCGACTGTACACTCACTTGATTTCAGGCAAAGTGTTGAAAGGACAAAAAATGACAGCAAATCCTGAACAATACCAATACTGGCCTTTAACTTACCTCTTCCATAAAGTCTTCCGGCATATTATTCGGACTAGATGAGTTCCGCATAGGGACGTTGGAGCGTTGCTCTGAAAAAGTATTTCATCGGCAAGGATACGCTCATGACAAAAGATAGCTATTTGCAGATAACTGATAATACACTTACCCTCATTCTTGACTTCTGAAGGCTTTTCCTCCTTGAGACTTGGAGCGCTTGAAGTTTCCGACTTCAGATAGGCTAAGACTTCTTCCTCGGTCATATCTTCAGTGTCAAGATACTGAACTATATGTTCCCCATCTTCTCCTATGAGTTGCATGATCTGCTGTCCATTCTCATCATCGACGTACTGTACGTAAGCTTCACAAGGTAACTCTTCATCGTTCAAATATTGAACCATCTGTCCATTGTCATCTACCACTCGTACAACCCGCCTTGTACCTTGCCCATTATCCTCATTATCGACTTCGTATGCCACGAGCTGGCTACTATGATAGTCAATGATCTCAGCGTCATCTGGATTCGCATATTCTTCTTCCACATAGGTCTCGCCTTCTTCAGCAACTTGATTAGCGATATCATGGCCATATGCCTCATCAGCAGTGGTAGTCTTGTCGTGATTGTCGTTTTTGCTCTGCAACATCACTTTTCTTTGAAATCAGTTGCAGCACACTCAAATTGTTTT